TCAAGAGATACATTTAGGAAAACAGCAATAAAGATGGGAATCAGCAATCATGTTTTACTACTTCCCCCAAACCTCAAGAAGTAAACATTTTTACTGTTTTAAGAAGTAAACATTCAAAGATAAAAAGTGATAAAGGAGAAAAGGTAGTGGCAAAATTTGGAAGTTATAAAGCATAAGGAGGAGCATAAGCTGATTTATCAAACCTGGAAAGTTGATTCCTAGATTGGGAGAAACAAAAGCCAGGAAGCAGCACTTTTGTCTGTAGTGCTCAAAGGGGTTAGGAGTCATGGCATTGGGTGTTTCTGGAAGCGGCAGCTGAAATGAGGGTGGAGATGATTTGTTGAAAGCCTAAGAAATATGTGGAGCCCCAAGTCTCCCTTCTCCCGCAGAAAGCTAGTTAAAGTGCCACCATCTGACTGCCAAAAGATTTGAGCTTCATTTTCTGGTTAGTGGAATGGAAGTTTCTGGAGTGGGAGTTTCCAGGAACTATGGGAGTGTAGTCAGCATGGGAAAAATAAATTAAGTGAACTTTACAGTTTGGATACTGGAACTTTTAGGCCTTTCCCCCTTTCCTTTCAGTGGGGAATGGACCCACTGCCTACAGGGGAATGGTTGAAGCGTTTGACCAAGACCAGCCTGCGAGATACCAGAACTGAGGCATCCCCAGGAAAACAGCCAGATCCCTATGCAGGGAAACATCCTCAAACTCAGCCGATGTACCTTCAGCTTCCAATGAACTTTCATGCACTGTACTTCTATATGCAAACTGTACTGTATAAGCTGAGAACTATCAGACATTTGAGAAGAGTCTTAAATGTGAGACATAGCGACCCTCCCAGGAGCGGGGCAATATCAAAGAACCCAAACAGTGGGAGAAAGCCTCCCCAAAGCACTGATATTTTAACATTTTTCAGAGAAAAAAAACACACCCATAAAACAAAAATAAGAAAATAAAGGAAATTTATAGACATACCAAAACAAGCCAAAACTCACCAAACAAAAATTAAGGGAACAAATGATCCAATGGAAATTTAAAATTTTACAAAAGAAATGAAAATGACGGAAGGAGTTTTTTAAAATGAAGATGAAATTTTTCAAAAGATTGGGAATTGAGAGAAAGAAAAAAATTTGAATTTTTTTCTCCAATCTATGAGCAGTCCAATGTCAAATTAATATGAGTTATGTATAGAAGAGAGCAAAGAAAATCAAGTAGCTCAAAAATGTATCCTTGAACACCTTGATTTTGAGATTAATAAAATTTAAGAGCATTGGAACAAAGAACTATTTACCTATAAAGAACTAGGAAACAGATTTTGTATAGCCTTATATCCATTCTTGTACCAATACTCACCAAGCAATTTTAGAGGTTAATAAGCTCACTAAAAATCAGCAAGTGAAACTGACATACAAAAAAGGAAAAATTCAATGTTTATGAGCCTCTATATGGAGAAGTATATTCAGAAACAAATTGAATATATATCGTAAGACTTTTTAAAGCAGTAAAATTAAATATAAAGTGACAAGTTGGTGAAATCTATTAACATTAATATGTAAACTGCATATAAGGTATATGGAAAAGTCATAAATAGATGAGAAAACACTAGCTACACTTTTTCATTCAGCAATTAAGTAGATTTTCCTTCTCTAAAATAAGGTTACTTGAAAAAAAAAAAAACAAGGTTACTTGGGCATGTGCATTGATGCATGCCTGTAATCCAAGTGCACCAAGAGGCTAAAGTAGAAGACTACACGTTCCAGCCTAGCCTGGCCAAGCTAACTACTCGGGAAGACATTGTCTCAAACTGAAAATAAAGAAGGGGCTGGGGATGTAGCTCAGTGTGAGGGCCCTGTGTTTCACCCAAAGTATGGCAAATAAAACCAAGTTTGCTCAATATTGAGTATATAAAGTGATAGATTTGTTGGAAAGTGTAAGTGTATGTATTAAAGATACTAAAATATTTAATCTTAATAGCAAAGCAATTCTATGTGTAAGTATATAAGGAACATCATTCAATTAATCTTTCACTGCATATACTATCTTATTTATGTACTGAAATATGAGATAAGTGTTTAAGTGATTGGTAGTAATTATGGAAAAGTAAAAACAAAACTTTAATAATAAGGGAATCCCTTGCGTCCATAAAATGGATTTTTTCAGCTATCAAATATGGTTATAAGTTACTCTCAGTGAATGATAAATAGACTTATTTCTAGTACTGAGGATTGAACCCAGGACCTTTGCACTGAGCTACATCCCCAGAACTTTTCCAATTTTTTTGTGACAGGGTCTCATTAAGTCACTAAGTCGCAGGCCGGGGAGATGGCTCAGTAGAATAAGCGCTTCCCTGGCAAGTGCAAGGGTCTGAGTTCAATCCCCGGTTCCACAAAAAAAAAAGAAGTCACTAAGTTGCCCAGGCTGGGTGCAGATTTGAGATCCTCCTTCTTGGGCTCCCAGAGCACAGGTGTGCACCACCATAGCGGCATTTAGATACTGACTGTCAGAAGGAACAGTGACTCATGTCTGAGGCATTTTGCCAACAAGGCCCTGTTTGAAAGAATAGATTTGAAATACACCATGTGTGCAACCTAAAAGACAAAGAGACTTTCCTCTTACGCTTCATTATGGGTGGGGGCTGCAGTAACAGGGCTGTGAGACTTGCACAGTGTCACTCCTCGCTTGCCCCAGCTCACGCGCGTGCGCATACACACACACACACACACACACACACACACACACACACACACACACAGCTACCCTTCATTTTGGGTGTAGGCTGCAGTGAAGGGGCTATGAGACTTGCACAGTGTCATTCTTCACTTCTCCCAGCTCACACGCACGCGCGCGCACACACACACACACACAGCGCAGGAACATTTAGAAGGCACCATTTTTAAACTATGTGGAAGAAATTAGTACTCTGGTTCCAAGAAATCCTTCAAGTTTAAGGGACCAAATATGTATATAATTCTGATAGGAAGAAAATGCTTCTTCAGTTGTCAGAACTGTCAAGTTTTCTAAGATGATTGCGTGTTACCATGGCCACTATGGATAAGGTTAAAAAGGATGAGTATCTGAAGTGACAGAGCAATCATTTTCTACTGGTAGTTTGTGGTTTCACAGGGTAGATACAAGATGATAGTCTCACAATGAACACTTGAAACTTACAGAGAAAAGTGACACATTTGGTTGGACTAATGAATGCTCAACACAGTAACTAAACTGTATTGTCACTGTACTTGGAAGAGTCTGAGCAGTTTTGCTGTAGGCAGAGTTTTAGTTATAAAACCAGATTATTTCCTTTTGATGAGCAACATCTGGAGACTAAATAAAGGAATGTTGCTTCATTGTTAAAGTCCTTACAAATATAAAGAGGAGATAATGGAGTTTATAAAACAATTAGTACTCAATTTTAATTGCATATTCAATATGAAATGGGGGCTTATGCAGTATTAATGGTATTGTTTCTTGGAGGGAAGACCCTCAACATAGTATTTAAGTTTCTTATATTAAACACTCCTTCAGAATTTCCTCTTTTCAGTTTTTAGAGTTGTTTCAGATGAAAAAGGTTGATATGCAATTATATATCCCCAAAATTTTGATGATGTATTCCTACAAATTTTAACAAATCCGTTGTATTACAGTTTTTAACATTAAAAAGTATGCTAAAGGTCCAGCCAGATAGCTCAACGGACTAAAGCACCTGATTAGGCAGGCGCAGCGACCAGGGTTTGATCCCCGGCTTGCTGTGCTGGCCCTGCCCCCAGGGCACGCCGAGCATTTGAGACTGGGCATGGTGGTGTGTGCCTGTAATCCCAGTACTTGGAGGCTGAAAACAGGTGAATCACTACAAGTCCGATGTAGTAGTGAGACTCTGCAGACCCTGAAGACCCTGTACCAAAGACATAAAAAAATTATGCTGAAATAGGGAGACTACATTACACATTCGTGATCTTGGCACTGTAGATCCTTGAGCCGAGCTCAAATGGGAATGGCTGTGAGTAAGCGAAATAGGTAAGGGTTATTCCTCATTTTCTTGAATAGAAAGGATCAGGAGAGCACGAGAAACCTTGGGGTGCTACGTCCTTGGGGGGGTCTCACAATAGACCATCATGAAATCCTCCATCACTAAAAGGGACAGGTAATTGTCAGCAGTGACTAGGATAACTATTTCTATTGGCATGAAAGAAATTTAAGCAAAATACTAACTTCTGGAGAAAACCAAGCAACTGGTACTCAGCAGGTGGACTTTCAAGATGGAGAAACAAACCATAAGTACAAGAAACCTGCATTAGAGAAAGCAATAATAATCAATAGTACAGTAGTTACAAATGCCACGAACATAAGTAGGACACTTAGTGGAAAAAAGAAAGTTGAGGGGAGTGAGAACTGAGCTTCAGATAAGTCTGCATTTGGGTGACAGTAAGAGGAGGTGGAAAAGGGAGAAAGGGAAGGAGAATACTAGTGCCTGGAGGGCAGAGAGGAGCGATGTATCATGAACCAATGACATCAGAAGGTAAAGGGCAACTCCTGGCCCTGCGCTGGGTGGCGATTTGATGATCTGCTCAGAACAACGTAAGCAGTAAGGTGGAGGCAGAATCAGGGAGGAGGAGGGAGAAAGAGCTTCGTGAATGTAACCTGTGATGTTGTTGACATGCTTGGTAGTGAAAAGGTGAAAATAGAAAAAGGATAGAAGCTTAAATCAGGAAAAAAGACTGATGACTGATGATTTAATGAAGAGAAAAATTATAGTGGTTACTTAATTGACCATAATCCTGAAGTATGTGGAAAAGACTGATGGTAGGCCTTCAAGGAGGAGAGACCAGCCCTGGAAAGCAATGTGTCCTTTGCAGAAAGCAGGAAGAGAGGTGAGATGAAGTCAAGGAGGGAAGGCAGTGTGTTCTAGGTAGCCTCGCTTAGGCTTTTTTTCCTTTTAATACAGTTTGTCTCTTTGTTGTCTTTAGTGGTTTTTGCCAAAATTATATTTTAAACTAACATACAGAAGCCTGTGAGAATGACCATAGCTTGATGAATGATCACAAGAAGCTCTGAAAGTAGGCATGTGAGCAGCACCGGGTCAGAGCAGTCGCCGCACACGAGGCTCCTGCTCACAAGAGCCGTCTTTCCCAAGGTTACCACTGCTTTGACTTGAGTGTAGATTACTTTGTCTCCTCTTGGTCCTCATCTGAATGGGATCATGTAGTAGGTCTCTCTTAATCTTAACACTTTCATTCAATGAACTCTTTTAAACTATCAAATATGAAACTGTTCCTTTTTGTACCTTTTGTTTATCTTCATTGATATACAGCATTCTATTGTATGAATATACAGTATTATAATGTATCAATTGCAATGTTCATGACTACATTGTTTTACGGTATCTGGTTACCAGAACTAATCTTCTTCTTGTCCTTCTTCCCCCTCCCCTCCCACTCCTCTTCCCCTTCTCCCCCTTCTTCCTCTTCCTCTTCTTCCTCTTTCTCCTTCTCTTCCTCCTCCTCCTCCTCTTATTATTATTCCTCTTCCTCTTATTCTTCCTCTTCCTCTTCTTTTTGGTTCCAGGGACTGAACTCAGAACCTTGTACTTACCAGGCAGGTGCTCATGCCCCTAAGCTATCTCTCCAACCTAGAACTAATGTTAAAAGCATTCTTAGACGTGATTTCCAGTCCACAGCCTTGCATGTTTCATGCACATATAGAACAATTAAATCGTAGCACATAAACATGTTTAAGTTTACAAGATACTGTTCAAAAAGTTTCCAGAGTGATTTGTAGTGCTTTGTATTCTTGCTAGTAAGGTAAGAGAATTCCTAGTGTTTTGTTCTACACCCATATCACTTATATTTCTAATATAATTTTAGCTTTCTTTTAAATGAGAGTATCACATTATGGTGTTTAATTAATAGTTTCCCAATAACTTTTTCCAAACATTAATTTTCAACCTTTCTATATAATTTCAGATTTTGTTTTAGATGCTTCCATGAAGACGCACTCTGCTATATTTGAGTCATTCGCTCAGGTTTGGCAAATTCAATAGATCGCAAGAGGACAGAAACCAGATACCAGCTGAGGAAAATAATAGAGCTGCAGACTGAGTGGCCACCAGTAGGTGGGCCAAGCTGCTGCCTGCACAATACTCACCAATCAGAAAGTCTAAGAAAGATCATTATCTGACTTGAAAAAGTTGGCTGGTAGATCTTAACTGCCTCATATCTAAAGCAACTCAACAATTAAAAACAAGCATTTTCCTGCAGCCTCAAGTATCTAGAACATATCTAACAATACTAAGTGGTTGCTTTCTAGCAAATTGAACTATGAAGTCTAAGAACAGATATGCTAAGAATCCAGGTTGTAGCATAATGATATTTTATCCAACCAAAGATGAATTTAATGATTTTGATAAATACATTGCCTACATGGAATCCCAGGGTGCACACAGGGCTGGCCTGGCCAAGGTCATTCCCCCCAAGGAATGGAGAGCCAGAGAGTCCTATGACAGCATCGGTGGCCTCTTAATACCCGCCCCGCTGCAGCAGGTGGTCTCCGGGCAGGCAGGTGTGTTTACCCAGTACCATAGGAGGAAGAAACCCATGACCGTGCGGGAGTACCAGCACCTGGCAAACAGCAAAGAATATCAGGCTCCTCCACACCGCAATTTTGAAGATTTGGAGCGAAAGTACTGGAAGAATCGCCTCTATGATTCCCCACTTTATGGTGCTGACATCAGTGGCTCCTTGTTTGATGAAAGCACAAAGCAGTGGAACCTGGGGCGCCTGGGAACCATTCTGGATCTGTTGGAGCAGGAATGTGGAGTGGTCATTGAGGGAGTCAACACCCCGTACCTGTACTTTGGCATGTGGAAGACCACGTTTGCGTGGCACACGGAGGACATGGACCTCTACAGCATCAACTACCTGCACTTCGGGGAGCCCAAAACTTGGTATGCGGTGCCCCCAGAGCACGGCCAGCGCCTGGAGCGGCTCGCCAGGGAGCTTTTCCCGGGCAGCTCCCGGGTCTGTGGGGCATTCCTGAGGCACAAGGTGGCTCTCATCTCACCCACAGTGCTGAGGGACAATGGGATCCCCTTCAGCTGCATGACTCAGGAGGCTGGGGAGTTTATGGTGACGTTTCCCTATGGCTACCATGCTGGCTTCAACCATGGCTTCAACTGCGCAGAGGCCATCAATTTTGCCACCCCACGGTGGATCGATTATGGCAAAGTGGCTTCTCAGTGCAGCTGCGGGGAGGCAAGGGTCAGCTTTTCCATGGATGCTTTTGTGCGTATCCTGCAACCTGAGCGCTATGAGCTGTGGAAACGGGGGCAGGACCGGGCAGTAGTGGACCACAGGAGATTCACAACTCTCCAGAAGCAGGAGCTGACCTCCTGGAAGGAAGTCCATGCAGTGAGGAGCTCTTCACTGGGCTTGAAGCACTTCAGACTTAGTCAGACTCAGCAACCCCCTCTGCCTGTGGCCTCCTTCAGTGGGACTGGTTACAGGAAGAATGTACGGCGTCGTTGTGCATCTGGGCGACCGCCAGCCAGAGGTCCTGCTGCTGGGTCGAAGCCCACAGCCCATAGCTCCCAGGAGTTCAGCGCAGCCTCACGGCCCTCCCATGGTCCATCTGTCCCGGAGAGACACTTGTTAGCTGGCAGACTTCGTCGTGGCCGTCCTCCCCGGGAACTAGGGGTTCAGGGGCCAAGCCACCAGGCCCTAGCCAAAAGACGCAGGTCAGTGGGCGTGGAGCACTCAGCTCGAGATTCAGATCTTCAGTTCCAACCTGTACATTGAGGGTTTTTTATTATTTTTTAAATTCATGTATTTGGTACAGGGTCTCACTAAGCAGCTCGGACTCATAGTGATGCTCCTGTTTTCAGTCTCCCCAGCGCTGGGATTACAGGCGTGCGCCACCACGCCAGGTCTCAGTGGTTGGCTCAGCGCACCTGGGGGCGGGCCGGCATGGCATGTGGTGCCGGGGATAGAACTCGGGTCCCTGCGCGCGCCTAAGAAGGCGCTTAGTCCACTGAGCTAACTCGCCCACCTGTGCATTGAGCTTTGATGGCCAGGCCTGCACCCAAGAGCCCTGGGCTGCAACATCGTGCTACCAAATGTCGCTTGACCTCTGACCCCTAAACTCGGGCTGTTTTTATAGCCCGCTGCTCTGTGTCTGTAAGCCCAGCCCTGTTGTTGACAACTCACTGAACTCTGAGCCACTTTGTAGGACGTCACTCATGCTTGCACTTCTCCAGCACTGCCTCCTGGGGCTGGTGAGTTCGTGCCAGTTGCTAAAGTCACCATATCTGTCCTTCCTCCAGGACCTCAGGCTGTTTTTCAGCTCTGATAACATCCGCATCACAGCTGAAGGTTCATCCACTGGACACCGTGTCTCATAACTAGGTTCCACTGAGATGACTGGAGCCCCACCCTCTGGCCGTCTGTGTGGGGTGCTGTACTTCCAGGGCTTCGGCTCTCCATTACTTCCCTCCCTCTTCTCTCGCCCCTTTCTTATTTCTTGCAAACTGAGGCACTTTTGACCAATTAGTTTAATAGAGCCACAAAAAGGGATTACCTTTGTAAGTTATTGATGTATTTAAAATGTGTTGTTACCAAGTATTTGTTCACAAATATATTAAAAGTAATGTAATTAAAATGTCGATTTTACTTTATTTCTAATATTTCAAATAGGCAGGAGCAGAGGTTATTTTATATATCTTCTTGTTTCAAAAACACTTAAATTTGGGGAATGCATGTTGGCTTCTGGCTAACTCACTGGCTTGGGGCATTAGATTTTTGCAACTTTACTTTGAGGGTAAAACGGGCGATCCACCTGTCGGCAATAGGAACTAAGTGGCAGGGAGAAAAAATCAGGTATAGAGCAATTGCATTACCTGAGTATCTCCAAGACACTACTGACTTTTGAAATCCATAGATATATTTTACATTCAGTCATTCGTTTATTGGGCTAGGTTCAATCAATAAGCCGCACATCAAAGAACAAGACAGCTTCAGTTAGTAATGTGTACTATGAAGGAACTGAAGTAAAATTGGAAAATTCGCAGCAAAAAAGGAAGGTGCTGGCTGGCTGCTCAGGGACGGTTTCACAGCGCAGGACGCCTTTCTGAGGACTGAGTGGCCGAAGGGAGGGGCCGAAGCAGTGCTTTCCAATCGCAGGGACCTAAGAGAATGCCTCACACGGAGCTTGGTGATTCTGATTTTGCGGAAACAGCAAGAAAGTTCATTTGCATCTGGGGCCTAGAGAGGAAGCAGCAAGGAGGGTAGAGCATGCGGGCCTGGTATCTCCAGGTCGCTGCTTGAATTGCTCTTGCCACAAAAGAGCAGCAGCAGATACAGTGCTGTGTGTGTTGTATGGAAAATGGGCAGGCAGGAGCGATGTCTAGCCCATCTGTATGAAACACATGACTGACAGTTACTTAGAAGAAATACTCAATGTTGAAATAAAGCAGGAAATTTATGAATATATTTTTAAAACAATCGTTTGTATACAGAAAAGTATTTCTGAAAAGCAAGCTACTCCTTGATACAAACCACTCTTCCTTTCTCCCACCAACAGAATTTCAGTGAGGCTCTGGAATTGGAAGCACCAGGCAAAACTGAAAACAGGCATATATATATATATGAATAATCTGAATCTTACATAGATCTTGTGTGAACTATCTGAAATGCAACAATGCAAAGCAAGTCATTAAGTGCAACAATCGCTTCTACCCTTCATTGTTGCTGTTTTATACAACATTGTTATTGACAAAAAACCGGATACCATGCTTGGTTGGAAAATGTCATTTCTTTACAAAAACAACACAGAGTGATTTCTGCTTTGACTGCATGTCAGTTTACAACAGGTATTTTCAGTTTTTCATTGGAAGCTCATGGAACTGAAAGTTTTAGCTGTCCAAATTCGTTCAACTGCCTCAGAAGTAAACAAAATGACAGTCTCAATATTGCAAACTTTGGAGGATTGAGAGAGTAGACCATAGTTCATTCTTTAGTAAATTCAGCTGGAAAGTGTTGCTTTAAGGGAAAAAATTTACTTGGGTCCCAGAGAAATAGTTAAGAACTAGCTAATTATGTGAAATCTAAAAGTGTAAAAACTGAATTCTATTACATTATAGACATTTTGTTCATAGCCTAGATTAAAGACAATTGATTTGCTGAATGGTAGTGAAGAATATCCTAACCTAAAAGGCTCTACTTATCCCAAATGTATGAGACCAAAGAAAATCATACAACAGTATTTCCAGGTTAAATTTTAAAAGATGGCTGACATCAGTACTTACACGTCAAACACATAATTAAATGCCGTATAGAACAAGTTCGTACATTATGACCTCTACGGCTCTCACGTACCAGAGGATTTCTCTTTCCCAAGTATTTATGGTAACATTTCTGGTAGTGCTATAGCAAATGTGCTTATTGAATTGAGTCACCCACAGAGGCCAGCTACGGAGACAAGATTATTCGCCAGTGGTCAGGGCCTAGCACATGACTGAGCATTAACCCTGAAGGGCAGGAGGTAGGAACAATTACACTGTTTCAGTTGTGGTCTAGTTCTGGGTCTGGAGGAGGTGACTAGGTTTTTTTAATGATATAATTTAGTGATGCTGCAGAAATACTACAAAGCATGGGCTTAGCTTGTGACAAAGGAACCAAGACGTTTGACATTTTATATAGAGAACAAGTGGTCTCATGACAAAGCATGGGGTGCTGTTGGGTTAGGCAATTATGACAACATTTACAAGAAACAAACTTAAGGAAGCAGAAACTTAGTGCCTGAGTACAACATGGTATCAGTTTGCTTCCCTTTCCCACTTCATTCCACCCTCAAGGACACTTTTCCTGTTTAGTAAAGCAGGCGAAGTTGCCCTAAAGCATCTGTTGACAGAGGTTGGTGCTCAGGCTTTTCTACTAACACCAGAAGTTGTGCCTGGTCCCGTCCAGCTGGGACTCTCCCTGTCACCCATTGGCCCAGGCAAGGCCCAATCACATGTAAGGCTGTACAGATCGCCAAAGGCCCAGGCAGGCTTGATTGTCCATCCGGGCATACCACCCTTGGGAATTTAGGTGGTCTGTCCTCTTGCTGAGCACTCATGAGCTCGGCCAGAGTCTCTCTGATGATTCTTGCATTACTGGCATCAGTGCAGGCACGTAGGTCCTTTATCACAAAATGTTCCGAGGACTCAGGCAGGAGCCAGTCTCTTCTGGCAGCACCTGACACCTGTTTTTATCAGTGGCTCCCGCTGACTTAGCCCACTTTAACTCAGTCTCCGAATAGAAAGGTCTTTATAGATGGGGTGTCACAAGTACTTTCTTGGGGACAGAGGTCTCCAGATTGGCCAAATGCTTTGTTGCTAAGTTCACAGAGCAGTTGCCTCAGGCCTCTAACGAATCCCCACCTCTGGTGGCTGGGCAGTGTTTGAAGGCCACCCCGTTTGGCATCCAAACTGTTCGTAATAACCCCAATATTTTTTGATTTTTTGATGTCTTTTTCCCCCTGATGGGCTCAGGCCCATTTGGAAACCTGCTGACTCATCATGGCATCTCTCCAGGATGGTGAATAGCCTAAAACAACCAGCTCTCCTTCTTCTTCCTCCTCCCAGCCCTTCTGCCATCCTTTCCCGCGCATGCCCAGAGGTTTCCAGTGAGCCATAACGTTATCACCCTGTCTCCCAAAGTCCCTGCCCAATCCAAAAACAATGAAAGCAGCTGCCTTCCTTTGCCTAGCTCCGAGGATTCTCCCATCACTCTCTGAGGTCCTCCCATGCCCACAGTAAAAGCCTCTTTTATCTTTTCTGTCCTTTATTTGCTCCCCAAAAACCTAACATCCCACCATAGTCAGTAGCCCTCCTTTTTACAAATAGCCCTGTGCACATCAAAAGTGGCAAAAGCATACCAAGAGTCAGTATGTAGTGGCCAGATTATAGTCCATGGGAGAATGTATTATAGGAATAGCAGAGTCTTTATTAATTTTCCAGCATCCAGTACACACTCTCCAAATTGGGAGCATGTTAGGCACATTTCTTTGTTCCCCTTTCTTTAGATAGGTTACCCGGTTGCCATGGTGACAGCACTGGCCCACCTGTGTGATCATGGAGCAAGGTCACTGCTTGGGCATTGAGATTTACAGCTGCATATGGTCTGACTCTACTTCCTTTAATTGGTCCTGCTTCCTCCCTTGTCTCATGTCTGTGAAGTTTTAACAAAGCAGGGGAAGGAGTGAAGGATGGGGCAATTTAGATAGGGCCAGAAAGGGGTGACCCGGCCCAGGTGTCCCTGATTTCTCAAACACTTCAAGTGGGGGTCAAACTGAGTTGATTTCTACCTTAGTCTCTCCTACTTCTAGGGTGAGTTGGACACTATGCTAGAACTCCTTTGGCTTAGAAAACCATCTCCTGCAAGTATATATATTGACTCACTTGTTCTTTTCTAGTCCCAGGGCCCAAGTGAGGGCCACAACCTGGCTTTTGTGCCTATGCCCCAGGGGAGGTGTTTTTGATCAAGCAGCTTGATCAGCCATGACAGTGGCTGCTTGCAGCCTGTGGATCCCATTTATTAGCACACTGCTGTCATCTGAAAACATGGTCAAGTCAGAGGCCTGGAGGGGTGAATCTTGGAGGTCTGGTCATGTCCAGGTGACATTGATTGACTTAATGTAGTCATGTTTGGGTGGCTCTACAGTTCTGAACAGCACTAAGCCTGCATGGTGGTTATGGTGAAACTGGGATCCCCAAGAAAGGCCTCCTGATACTGGTCCACTTGGGTTCCTGATAGCCATTTACTGTGGGGACCCCTAATTAGGATTTTTAACTTCATGGGGCGTAAATACCTTTAAAGTGTGTCCCAAGG